CATGTGATTGACTTCCCCGATGTAAAGGGACTGTGCCCATTTCTTCCTTTGGCTTGTTGAATCGCCTCCGGTGTTGCCGCCGTTGATCATATGAATATGGCGCTTGTATTGTTGATGGGAGCCCTCCCCCTCTTCGTCGAGGCCCCCAATTTCTCGCTTCTTCCCCTGTGGGTTCCCCAAGGGAATGGTGTTGGGGTTCACCCACTTGTTCGCCTTTGGTGGTGGCCCTTGATGGTGAAGGGGGCCCTGGGGAGGAGGGCCCCTGATAAATTGAGACAAGTGGCCTGCCTGTATCAGCCTCTCGATGGCGTTCTTCAGCTGATGGCAGTCGTCGGTTTTGTGTCCATGGTGGCGGTGGAAGCGGCAATAGGGCTCATCAGGACCAATGGCATAAATATCGAGGGGTGTACGGGAGTCTCGCTCCACCAGCCCTCGTTCTTCTGCATGGTCCAAGATGACGCTGACGGGGTGCGTCAGGGGAGTGCGTGGGTGCTCCAGGAGGACGGGTTGCGCCCATGCCTTCGGATTATTCTTGTAACCGCCCCCGGTTCTGGCTTGGCCACCTCGGGGGCGATCATTGTATTGGGCCTCGCGGCTGGCCGGAGGGGGAGGCCCTCCGGGCCGACTCCTGCCTTCATTCCTCTGAGAAGGATCCGTGTTGCGGCGGTCCTTCTCGATTTCCTCTGCTTCAGCGTATCGATCCCCTCGCTGAAGGGCCTTGGTATAATCGCGGGGGGATCAGTGATAAGGCTTCGGGAGAAGTTACCGTTACGGAGGACGGTGTGGAAGAGGGCCATCAGCGTCCTGTCATCGGCGCCTTCGACCTCGAGGGAGGCCTGCCTCCAGCGTTCCAGGAAACTCCGAAGGGTTTCCTCCTTCTGTTGTCTCACGTTTAGGAGGTGAGAGAAGTGTTTCTTTGAGCGATGCCTCCCAGCAATTTGCGTAAGGAAGCGGTGGGCAAGTTCTTGCCAAGAATCAATGCTGCCTTCGGGCAACCGGTTGAACCACTCATACGCTGGTCCCTCCAAGGTGGAAAGGAACCAATGGCACAAGTATTCATCCGATGCCCCCATCATCATCATGCTGTTTTGATAGCGGCTATAATGCTCTTGGGGATCCGTCTTCCCCTCATACGGCTTGATGGGTTGCCCCCGATATTTGTGGGGGATTTTGGCCGCCAACACCCTTGGGGTGAAGGGGGTTCTAGTGCGGAGTTGAATGAGGGGCTCGCCTGAGCCCTCGGCAAGTTTACGTTTCATTTCCTCCACCTGTGCCCGGAGGTCAGCGTACTCTGGATCTGGCCTCGCTGTGGAAGCCGTCGGGGGTGCCTGACGATTCTCCTCGAGCTGACGGAGGAGGGCTTCAATGATTTCGTCCTTGGGATCCTTCGGAGCAACCCCTTGGGAGTTGGCCCGGAAGGACTGCGCCTGATTGATCTGGTGTCTGGCGTCATCGGCATGGAGGATGGCTTTGCCCTTGCTTCGGGGCGGAGGTATGCCCTCGGCTCCCGAAGCGGAGGCTCCGCTCTCCTGAGGCCTGCTGAATTCCTGTTTGCCGAGGCGGTCTTGGACCCCTCGGCGTACGGGAGCTCCCCCAAGCCTCTCAAGTGCAGAGGTCCGGGGTTTCTCCTTCATCAAGGGACGTTTATCCCTGGATTGGGCCTCTTGGGAGGCGGTGTCCTGTGCCATAACCCCTTCGGCGTTTCCAATCCCCGGAGGAGGATTGGTGAACAGAGGGGGGAGTGGTGGCAATTGAACAACATTTCCTCCAGCGTAGGGCTGGAGGGGTGTCTGAGAGGCGGGGGCTCCGGAATTGAGAGCCATGTTTTGAACAAAGGCCGCAAAGGCAGCCTGAAGATCGATGGCCGGGGCCGGAGGGGGAACTTGGTTCTCACTCCGATCCCTCCTTCGATTATCAAGGCCAATGCGGGCATCAGGGGCGTTCTTCTGTAGTTGCTGACGGAGGTCAGCAGTGGCCTGCTCCAACTCAAGGATGATACCACCCTCGGGTACTAAGAGCCTGTTGGAGGCCTCAGCCCCGTTGGTTTCGCCGGGGGCTACGTGGTTCTCCTCAAGGGTTTTGGATTGGGCACGGGTGGTTCTTCCCATTTTTGGTAAGTGTTTTGTGTTTGGTAGAGGGGGAGGGTTCCTTACTTGATAGTTCAGACCTCTCAACGAGAGCACCAAATGATGGATGGTCTACCCGGGGGGTATCTTATCCGAGGGTTATTACGGGAATAACTTAGAGAGAAGTCAGAGATAATAGGAGGAGAGAGAGTCGATTTTATTAAATGAACTCGAGATGTGGAGTTGAGATGCAGATGATGTAGATCCTGTTTTACAAGGAGAAATGGGCTGCTATTTATAGCAGCAATAAATGCGATGAGAGGACACGTGTCAGTAATCCAACGGCCGAAGGGTCACATCAGCCTGGTGGCACCGGCAGTGGTACGTTTACCGCATTGAATGCGGTTGGCGGATGTGACGTGGCATTAAATGCGGTGGTTGGCTGTCCCCAAAAGGAATCTTCGATGATTGAGCATGCTTGGCCGAAGGCTTCTTGTGTAGCTGAGGGCTCCGTGTAACCAAGGACCCCTGTGTAGCCGAAGGCCCCGAGTGGCAGAGGGCTAAGTTCAACCGAAGGCTCCCCTGATGCCGAGGGCTTGGTAATGCCGAAGGCTCATGTTTTTCGCCGTTTTCTCCCAGTGGCTTCGTATGTCAGAGAGGGCTACTTCGTGAGTTTCTGGAGCCTTCGGCCAAGGAGGCCGAAGGCACCCCAGTATGTATTTCGGGCTATTTTGGGGCTTGGGCCGTTGCTTTTGGGCCTGAGTTGTTCTCTGGGCCCATTGGATATGTGTAGCAGAAGTAGGAGTCTATGGGCCGGGGGTTCTTGGGCCATATACTCCATCAAACCCGTTAAAGGCCTTCAACATATCTGGGCGTGTTAGAAGTTTAGAAAGCAGCAATCCAGCTATAGTACGCATCGGGCCAGAATTGGAAAGGTAGTCCTTAGAGCATTCTACGATCCTCAATGCCAGTGGAGGTAGTTCATTTGTACTTGTACACTGACTGTCAGTAATACTAGTATCCACAGATGATATATCAAAGGGAATCAACACTAATATGGAAAGCCATAGCAGTATCACACACTTTGCTTCCATCTCTCCTGTACTTTCTTGCCTTAATGATGTTGCTGAATGTGTACTGTGGCATTTCTCCAACAGAGAGAACGCAAGTTCTAGATCAGAAACCTGGTGTGGGAAGAATTTGATAACTGCCTTATATCCTCATACTGTTACCAAACAATAAATGATAATGCATAAAGGTTTAATGATGTCAAGAACTTCATCCAATGCTTCCCCTTGTTCAGCCGTTTTGGAACGAACAATTGACATCAGAGGATAAACTATGCTCTCTAGATAAGGCTCTACTAGTTGACCCTGTTCCTGATACTTGTCCATCTGCAACACCACATGTAGCATGTGAGGCAGGGTTTTATATTCCAAGCATAAGAGTGAAAATAAAGCATCAAGATATGAACTTTCTTCAACCTATAGAAGAACAACCCTCTAATGCACTTAAAAGTTTTCCGAATAATAATGCCTTGCATGGCTACACTACTGGAAGGCATTGACTTGTCGGAAGCGTATATGGTACCACCGGTTGTACGGTGCTCACCGTACAGCCGGTGGCATTTTTGTAATTTATTTGAAATTCGCGTCTCGTATGAAATGAGTATTAAACCACACATAGTGAGCAAGTGACATATTTTGTTGAGCATTAGAAGCATAACATTGAGCATCATGATCTCTGCTTCATCTCTTCGAATTTACTTTCTTTTCCTTATTTTTTTCTTTATAAAAACTTATTAAATTATATCTATAATCAACTCTTATGAACTTCAGTATGTGAATTTAATGCAATATGATACTTTGGAAATATACATTGGTATGTCATATTACAAATGAGCATAACATGAATACCCGTTGAGCATACATAACTTATAAAATGAGAATTGATATGAAAATCATAAGTACTTTTAATTGAACATCAAGACATTTTTATTGAGCATCGACTTGAAAAGTATGACCAATGATTTTCATTATGCGATTGTGATGAGCATCGAGTTTGTTCTTTTTAAATGAGCATAAAATAACACCAAATGAGCATATGTAACTTACAAGATGAGTATCAAAAAAATTAAAAGTCCATTTGTGTATGCTCATTCATTTTGGCCTTATACTCATTTGAGTTTAACATTAGTATGGTACGTTTGAAATGAGTATGAAGAGGTACCAAATGAGCATACATAATTCACAAAATTAGTATAAAAAATTCAAAAGATCATTTGTTTATGCTCATTCATTTTCGGTTGTATACTCATTGGAGTTTTACGTGAAACTCATTTTTAATATGCTCGATATTCATTTGTGTATGTTCATTCTTTTTAAACTTATACTCATTTGTGTTTAATATAAACTCATTTCAGATTCGTCAACAAGAAATATGAACTCAGTAGGCCTTCATCGGATGTCGAAACAAACACTGGCCTGGAGCTTGTTATTTATCGTACTTAAACCAAAGTAAACCATGACTAACAATCGTCCTAGCAATTTCTTCATCTGATGTCTATCTGCAATTTCTATTGCAAAGAAGGCAACTAAATTAGGAACCCTAAATCCCTATCTCCTTATCTGTTTCAACCCCAAAGCCATAGTCATCGATTGACTCAATCCCAAAACTCCGAAGGTCTAGCAGGGAGAGGTGGCCGCCGGGGATCTAGCAGGTAGCAGCGATGGCCGGCGAAGCCTGGGACGAGCGACACGAGGACTCAAGCCTGCGTACAGAGGATACGAAGGTCTTCGATCTTAACCCTGCAAGTTGATTTTAATTTCAAAAATACCCGACTGTACGGCTGCTGTACGGTGTAATTTACGTTGACTTGTCTGTGTACGATGTACATACATAAACTATGGCGCACAATACACAAAATTGGTGCAAAAAACATCTGAAATGGAGACTTTCAGATGCACCACATAAACATAAAGGTGAGTGAGAAAAGCAATTCCATACAATGGATGGGATCTTGTGAACGGACGAGAAATCAGAAACCCGGCCGAGCGAAACTATTTCGTCGAGGAGGAGCTTTACGAGCTTCCATTCCTGAAGGAAGATATCTCTGAAGAACCCTCTCTTTGGAGTCGTGCTCGTCATCGCCCTCTTTCGCCTTCTAGTAATGCAGCGTTGCTCGCTGCCCTGTTCAATTCCTTCTCAGCACCCTCCGCTTTCATGCTCGGAGCAGATTGCTCTTTCCTAGACGTCATCCGGCAGCTTTGATCACTGCCAATTGAGGGTTCATTCAAATTTCCCGCTAAAGATTTCTGTTGGAATTGGTCGGCACCCATCCGCTAAAGATTTAGCCTTTGTTAATTTGGAAGCACGGGTACCCGGGTTTTTGTAAGCAGGGACGATCGAGCTAGGGTATAGGGTCGGGGAGCCGTCGGACTAGTCCGTTCCATTGTTTCCGGCAAGGTTGTACTGTAGTTTTGCTTCTGAAGGACAGGGACGATCGACCAAGGTGAGTTTTTATTTTTTTATTTTTTATACAGACGACGTCGTTTCGGATTCCAGGAGAAAAAATAAGGCCGGTTGGGCCAAGGCAGGCCCAACAAGTAACAGCCCAAACGAAGGCATTAAGCCCTGGCCGCACAAGCAGCAAAGCAGTTCAATCCTTCGCATCAGTTGAAGACGGCAAATTATTTACAACCAGAGATACTGAGACACAGAGCATTCGACGACCTCCAGAGCCCAGGCTAAAGGTCTCTAACTCTTTTTGACTTTATTTACACCTTTTAGTTGTTTAATTTTTAAGTTTTTTAGTTGATTTCAATTGTTAGTCGGCAAGGACATAGTGCGTTGGTTATTTTACTCCGTATAATATTATTGTATTAAAATAAATTAAATATTGAACTAAAAACTGCATATATAACTATATGAGTATAAATTGTTGATCTATAATTTATTCATTTAATCAAACAACACAATAACTCGTTTAGGTGTGTAAAAAATAAATAAACTGACCATAACAATTACTTTTCTCAAAATTGAAGTTATTAAAAAAATTATATCTGATAAACAATGTCTGAAGATACATTATCTGATTTGCGAATTTTGCTCTTCAAAAGTTAGCAAAATAGGCTATTAGAATATCTATATGTTTCTATATCAATTTGGATCTTTAACTTTCAAAGAATCTTCTCATTAGTATAGGTTATGCATTTCATATGTAATTTACTTCTATAAAATTGATAGGCTGAATAATAAAATATATTCAAATAAATTATTTATAAGACCGTGCTCTTTGCTTAAATTATTTTCTAGTTCCGTCGCTGTTTGTAAGCCAGTCAAAGTATGCCACATCACCATTCTGTATTAATATACTCCATAGTATTCTACGATTCTGTATATGTCATGATGGTTGTTGGGGATTTAGAAATTAGAACCACTTACGCGACAAGGAACCGTTGATGTCACTGGAGTGAGGGCACATGCCTCAATTAATACTACGTATTTACTAATACAATACTAGTAAAATTGAAAAACAGTACGTAGTGTATAAGTGCTCTTTAGAGTTAGAGTAATTGCTCCTAATAAATTACAAAGTATTATAGCCCCCAAGGATTATTTCTTTTCTTTACAATATGGAATCATACTTATAATGGTTCGGACGAAAAAATAAAGACATACCCTAGGAAAGATGATTAAATTGGAGTAAACATTATTTTCAAGTGTAACTATTTGTAGTACTAGTAACATTTTGCAAACATAATGTATAGTGTGTAGACTCTCCTAATTGTGTGTTTAAACTCGCAATTCATTTAGAAAATGATTACTTCTTACTAAGACATTTTACTTCGACTATTTTCAATCCAAGATCAAATCAAATCAGAACTAACCAAACCAAATTTGAATATTTATAAAATATAAAGAGATCAAATTTGAATAGTTATAAAATATACAAAAATTAGACCAGAACAAATGAGAAAATTTGGTAAAGATTTTCTCATTTGGTAATGAAAATTTGGTAAAGATTATAAAATAAAAAAATCTTGATCGAGGATAATAAAAAACCCACATTTTAATTATTTACAATGTCTGGACTGGTTCAGTGGCTCCATTATGGCAATATGTACGTGATGTCTGTCCTCAACACTGGGATGCATCCATTCTACTAAAATTCATATTTCGGGGATAAGCGGTAACATTTCAGACTTCCAGGTAAATCCATTCTTTCCGTTGTTTCGAGCTTTCGTAGGGAATGTGGAAGAAGTTCAAGAAAGATTGACGACAAATAGTGTGTCATACTTTTCATCTTGACATCCTTTTTTAATCGTGTTTTCACTTTCTTTATTCATCATAAAAGTTTTACAGAAGGATTTTGCAAACATGAAAAATGTGGGGAAAATGGGTGTTCATTATCTGCACAAATTGAGTGCTGAATGTATACCAAAAGATTTGATAGAGAAGGGGCAAAAGCGTGTTATCGAGGCGTCTCTCACGCTTATCCGAGAGCGGGCAAAGTTAAAGGTATGTGGTGGGGGGCTAACCTTTTGAAATTGTTCTCTGAGTCATCTGATAGTTTTTTTCATTGCTTCTAAATCCCGATTTCTTGGCTAAATGTTTTTTTCACCAGAGCTAAATGGTTGTTAAGAACACTAAAAATAACATTTTAACATATCATGCTTCATTACCAAAGCAATTCATTGGCATCATTGTTTTTTCCATGTTCTTGAAGGGATATAATGAACACCCTCAGGATATATCTTCTAGTCATCATATAAATATATAGCTTTTGTCCTAGTGTGGTGACATTCACATCTTAGGCCATATAAACAGACATATACATGGCTTTGAGTTACTCCTCTTACCATTAAGATGAAATCCAAGTTTCTATACTTCGTAAAATGACGTTGTTTTCAATGTGGTATAGTATGCCCGGCGATTACATTACACAAAGGAATTATTCTTGTTTTTTTGTTTTGTGTTTTTTCTTCTTGAAATTGACTATTTTGTTTGCAGGGAGAACTTCTCCGAGCTCTAGGGGGAGTAGTAGCATCACCAACTCTTTTAGGGGTTCCTCTTGGACATAATTCCTCATTTCTTCAAGGGCCTGCATTTGCTCCTCCCCGCATTCGAGAGGCTATATGGTGTGGCAGCACAAACTCTACAACTGAAGAAGGTGGTGAATCCAGTGTCTCCTAATGGTCATCTGATCTCACTCAGTTAAGTTCAGGCAACCATTTTATTAAAAAGAGCTTCACGAATGATGCATTCATGCAGGCAAAGACTTGAGTGATCCACGTATCTTGACTGATGCTGGCGATGTGCCGGTACAAGAGTTACGAGACTGTGGGGTAGACGATGATGGATTAATGGATATTATCAGTAAATCTGTCAAGCTAGTGATGGACGAGGTGAGCGATATTTTTTACTAGTCACAAATTATTTGCAGAATCGTCCTGTTTTGCTGATTGCCAGAGCATGTTGAATCCCTCTATTTGTTAATTTTAGTAAGTAATAATCTACTGCTTTTTTGCATGGCTTTGAACATACTTACATAAAATGTGGCAATTTCTAAAAATGGTTATAATACTTATATAGAGAAATGTTTTTTTCTAGGAAATTGTATGTTACCAAGGTCATTGCAGTCACAACTGATATCCCATTATGGTCATTGCTTATTCAAAGTCACATTATTGTCCATTACTCTTATTTTTGTCATATATTTTTCAATATTTTTCAAGCACTTTGTCATAACTCATAATTACTCCTCTCTTAGATACAACTTTCTTACAGATTTAATTTCTTATTTACTATCAAGCTTCCATGCGCTCTCCAGATCAGACATAATAAAAAAGAGAGGGACAAATGAGTTTTGGCATTGTGTACATTCTTTTTTGCTGTTATTATCCTGACTTGCATACCTCTTTTTGTCTACAGGTTCCGTTGTGCCCCTTAGTCTTGGGGGGCGATCACTCAATATCATATCCTGTCGTGAGAGCTGTGTCTGAGAAGCTGGGTGGACAAGTAGATATCCTTCACTTGGATGCTCACCCTGATAACTACCATGCCTTTGAAGGAAACAAATACTCACATGCCTCTAGTTTTGCTAGAATAATGGAAGGTGGTTATGCCAGGCGGCTCTTGCAAGTAAAGTTTCTATTTCTAAACTGCAACATTTGTAGTCTTTTTTTACGATGTACTCTAATAAAAAGCAACAATGCTTGATGTACCCACTTTTATACCCACCTTATACCCACCATGTTTGTGGAGGTTTTTTTTTTCTGTGAACCCGGGTTCACAGACAATATTTTGTCTGTGAGCCGGGGTTCACAGACAAAAAAAACACTTCACAAACATAGGTGTGTATAAAAGTGGGTATAAGAGTGGGTACAAAGATCATTTTTGAATAAAAAGAGAGGAAGATAGAGAGGAAATGTGGAAGGAAATTTCTGGGAAAAGTATAAGATAAGCTCATACTTTATAACATTATTTTAGATATTTATTCAAACTCCAAAGTCATTTTGTTCATTTATTTATACGAAGTATTTTTAATTATTGTCAAAACTGAGAAATCTTAATATATGTAAGAAAACGAAATTAAACGCAATTTGTATTTCATTTTCCTTTGCACTTTTCAAGGTAAACCAAACATACCCGTGATCATCATCATTTTCATTTACCCCAGTGCCACAAAGACTCCCACCAACGGTTGGGTAAGGGGGGGTCGTATGTACGCAGTTTTACCCCTGTACTAAAGCACAGAGAGACTGTTTCCAGATGACCATAGTGAAAATCGCATCCAAAATTGCATGGACTGACTGCTGTTTCATAGCAAAGAAGCACAGACAGTTTAGTGAACCATTTTGCTTTATTCCATCATATTCTCAAGCCAAAAAATAATGAATCTTTGGCTCCATTGCAAATGATGGAAATCAAACATACCCGTGATAAATATTAAATAGTACATGTAAAGCCAGAGTACAGAGCACATTGTGTGGTTACATGTGGTAGTTGCATTTAAAGGAAAGAATTGATACTTTTACTTGCTGGATTCATTTAAAATTTATTGAATTCGGCAATGTTTGGATCATGGAACATGCTAGAGAATGGGAAGATATGCTAAGGAAAGTTATTATCATATGCTTGGTTTTACCTCTGAATATGCAAAGGAAAATGGAATATTATTAATTTTTCAAAATTTCTTACATGTATAAATGTATCTAGATTTCATAGTATAAAAAGAATCTACACAAACATTTAATTTTCCTCATATATTTTTATATTCTCCTACGTTTCCTCCCTATTTCTTTCCCTAACATTTTCCTTACCGCATAGGCTCTTCATGAGTTTCTAAATTTCCTAGAATAGCTTAAATTGTGGGTTGCAATAGATTCCGGGACATGATATAGGAATATTATCAAATTAGGATTCAGGACATATCACTAAAGAAATTAACCCTAACACACCTGATGTGTCTCTCTGAAGTTCATATCCTTGTTACACAGGTTGGGATTAGATCAATCTCAAAAGAAGGCCGTGAACAAGCTAAAAAATTTGGCACTGAGCTATATGAAATGAGGACATTTTCCAGAGACCGCCAATATCTAGAAAACCTGGTTGGTCTTCATTCGGCCTTTACATCTCCCTCTCTCACACACACATGGTTGAACTCAAATATGTTGTTGGACCTATTTAAAACTTGTAAATCTTTTTAAGTTGGACTAAGTTAATGATGGGTTTCCTATAATTGTACTAAAATAAACTTATGGACCAAAATATGACTGCATGCTCTGTGCTATGTAATATTGAAAATCATTTTGGTCACACTACAGTCTGCAAAAATGCCACCATGGTCCGTGGGTCACTCACTCACTCCGAATTAAGAGTCCAAACTTTTGTTTTAGTTAATACATTTCATCATTTCTTATATAATACTTATTATGGTTCTTGATGCTTTTTCGTCACCAGAAACTAGGTGAGGGGGTGAAGGGTGTGTATGTGTCTGTTGATATAGACTCTCTTGACCCTGCTTTTGCTCCGGGTGTATCTCACATAGAGCCAGGCGGTCTCTCTTTCCGAGACGTCCTCAACATACTCCACAATCTTCAAGGTGACATTGTGGGTGCTGATGTCGTTGAATTCAACCCACAGCGTGACACTGTTGATGGGATGACCGCTATGGTTGCTGCAAAGCTAGTTAGAGAACTGGCTGCTAAGATATCGAAGTGACACAAGTAACAATCTACCCATTTGCTAGTTGCTAGTATTAAGTTTATGCTGTTAGTCTAATAATAATGGTCATTTTTTAGTTTCCAACAAACTCATTGTCAGTTTAACTTTCAGGGTACACTCGATTTAGTGCACATTTGGCCTATGCGATGAATAAAACATTGTAGCTCTAGCTTCTTCATATTGAATTTAGCCTTTGTTTGGTCGGAAAGAATTACTAACAAAAATGCATTCCTTCTCAACTTTTATTCTTTCATTCTTCATTTCTCTCATACCAAACAACACACAAAATCTGTCTATTTCTCTCTTCTACATATCTGCCCCTCATTTTTTTCTCATCTTTATGTCTTTTTAAACCAAACCAAACCAAACCTAGTGTTTACTAGCTAAAGTATTTCAAAGATTTCTGTCAAAAAAAGGTACTAGTCACAAAAGTTGACTGTAACTTAGTCTTGGAAAATTTAACTCCTACTAGTATCAATGTGTTGTTTGCTGAAAACTTATCACTGTGGGAGCTTAATTGTAACTTTCATAAACTTTGAGGCTCATTTGGTATTTTAACCAAACCCTCAGGGACACATATGTAAACTAACCCTTTTTTGCAATAAACTCATTTTAGTTTCAAACTTTTTCATGCTACACTTGATTTTTCTACATCTTTTTCTTCTTCCTATGGGATGAATAGCAACATACTCTTCAGCTATAAGTCTCAACTGTTTCCTCCCGTTTTTCTAGCACTATACCTTTGTACCGCTTAGCACAAAAGATGAACAACAGTAGATCCAGCGCAACCACAACAGCAGACAGGAAGAAAAATCTTTCCAGGTGGCCATCGTTTAGATTTGGTGGGACCCACCCCGGCTTCTCATCCCTAGCCATGATCTTCATCACAGTAGTCAGTAAAATACTGCACAGGTAACTACCTAAGGCGGAAGAGGACATAGACAAGCCGAGCCCCATACTCTTGAGACTGTTTGGGATCTGTGATGCAAAGAATTCCCACAAGAACATACTGCGGGGTTTGCCAGAAAATGCTAAGGGAACTCGTCTCTTCGTCTCCATTAGCATACCTGACCCTATGCTGCTCAACTACGCCAGCGATTGCCATGACAATGATCGAAATGACCAGACCTACCCCTATCCTCTGAAGCTCGCTTGGCGGCTTTGGCTTTCTTTTCATTAACTTGACATATAGTGGGAGTATGATGTTCTTGTAGCATATGATGAAGGTGGATGTGCTGATGATGTCGAATGATGTCATGTTGGCCGGAGGCATGTCGAAGGTTAAGATCTTGGTGTTCATGGCTGCTCCTTGTTCCACAAAGAGGGAGAGAACCTGGATGAACACTATGGACGACAATATTGTGCAAAGCCATATTGGGTGTAGTCTGAGCACACATTTCACCTCCTCCACCTGGGTGACTGTGCATATCCTCCATGGATTTGGAACTTCGATTTTGTCTGGCAACAAAGTCATGTCTGTGGAGACCATCATCGCTACTTGATCAAGAAACCTGTTTTTTGTTTGGATAAAAAGAAATATCAACTACCATCACATTGAGCGTTTGTCATGTTTGTGATTTGTCAGGTTATGAGATAATTTTTAAAACAGAGTTCAAAATAAGAGGCTAGATGAGATCAAAGTAACCAACTTACTGAAAACCATCTGTATGAGAGATCCTTCTGTTACATTTATCAGCACTTCCATGAACTTCATACAACCCTTCTCCATTCAATGGAACTTGAAGCTTTAATTTTCTCAAAGAAGCCACAATCACCTGACAAAACATGACAAAACGTGCACACAGGGTTCTTCGACGGCTGAATGTGATGATACCGATATGCCCCTGCGATCAACAAACTCAATGCAGCAAACCCACATAAGGTAGATATCCAAAAGGCAAACACCCATTTCCCTAAAGTTTCCATATACACCAAAACTATTTCTGCCATAATGGACCCGAGGTTTAACGCAACGTAATAGTAGCTGTAGAATTTGGTCTTTGATCGGCTCTCCTCAGGATCTTCTTCGTCGAATTAGTCTGCTCCTAAGGTTGCTAGTACAGGTTCTATGGACCCACTCCCAATTGCTAGTAAATACATCCACACGTAGAACATTGCAACTTCAACCATTGATTGTTGATCACATACTTCTCCTATCCTTCCACACCCTTTTGGCACAAGCATGAACACGTGAGTTAGCATTGACAGTGCCACCAACCCCCGGAAAGTCAACCAGTTCACTTCAGGTGCTTCACATACAGAATGCATAGCATTAAAATCATATTTAGTCACAGTTTTTCATGCTGTGACATCCCCCCCCCCCTCCCGCGCCCTGCCACATTGAAAGAATGCACACACAAGAACTGTTTCTCTAGTGGGTTCACTTAATTCGGTAGAAAATCGTCTGCGAGCTTGCAATTTTTTATTAGCCCTAACTCACCATAAAAGGATTCTCAAGAGGCGAGATATTTTGGCAAACATTTGGTGTGAGACACTTTGCACACCTCCTCGGTACAAAGCAGACAAGACAATTTGATAGTGGATAAATGGATCATACTGACCCAAATTAGCGACCTCAAGCAATGGCCGTCTAACAACCAAATAAACAAACCTTAACCAGACCAGCCTGTGATGCCATATTAAATTAGGCCTCACTCATCCTAAAATGATTTTCAGGAGGTGACGGTTACCTCATACTTAAATACAATTTAATTTAAATATCGATATGGTATACATACAATGTGGAACACTCCAATCATACAAAGAAAAGGAAAGATGTGGCCTGTGGGACACTTAACCCACTTGACACAAATTTTGGGGGTTTGACCAGATTCGTATAGTCTACAACTCTCCTGCCGTCCTGCGTGATGGGTATATTTTGAGACTACAAATTTTAAAAGTAAAAAGTATCCATGTAAGAAGCATCTGAAATGGCAAGCATTAGGTGTCTAGCTTGAAAGTACAGGACTACAAATGTGCTCGTCTTTGAGTTGCAGGTTTGGTTTAGAGATTTTCATGTCAAAGAAGGCCTCACACCTAAACAGGTCCTAGGCTGAGCAAGGCGGGGATATTTAGCAAGGCTGAGCAGCCAGTGAGGGATTGGCTACACTTGCTTTCACAGAAGTGGAAGTGAACATGGTCCTTTTCTCCAAGTCTGTGATGAGAAAATCAAATGCAGATGCTGCCAACTTCTTTAGCAGGTGGATGGGTACCCTTTACATTTTCTCCCTCTTAGGAGCTTTCCTCAGTGATTCTCAATGAAATCAAAAGTTACGTATTTGATTATAAAGTTGGTTGATAATATTAATAAACCGAAAACAAGGATTATCAAATGCCATCTTTAACCTTTCTTGCCATTTTTATTTTTATATTATCTATACTATTTACTTTCATTGTGCTCTTAGATTTCGTGAAGGCCCTAAAGGTGCAACCAAATGTGAGTCTAAGTATGGACCCCAAGTAGCCCCACCTGTGATTTTGTCCATCAACATGATCAACAACATCCTAGAGAAAAATGAAAAAGCAGCACAATTAATGTGGAAACTGGTCGCAACATCCATCTTACTAACCAACTACGGAATAGGGAGTACCATTTATTGGTCTATTTTTAGTTTTTTACAACTGCTTCGTCATTTACTAAACTTTTTAATGCTTTATGTTTAGAATTTTGAAAATTCGGACTGTCATGTTTTGGTAGTACCAGACCACTACAAGAAAAATCATTTTTTGCGTCAACAAAAAGTCGACGCAAAAGGTCTAAAGTCGACGCAAATAATGTATTTGCGTCAACATGTGGACGCTAATGGGTTGACGCTAATGCTTCGACTCAAAAAGTTTATTTGCGTCCACTTTTGGTCGACGCAAATAATATTTATCTTTTGCGTCCACTTTGTCGACGCAAAAAGGTGCTAGGTGCGAAAAATAAAAAAGACCTTTAGCGTCGCCATGTTGACGCTAAAAGTTCTAAATTTTTCAAAAAAAAAAAATACAATATATTAACATTGTTGTTTTCCAATCAAATACGTTGTAAATTATCAAGAATCACAAAATATAAATTTTATAAATATTTATCAAGAATCGCAAAATACAAGTCAAATATTTATCAAACATTATCACTAACAGCTACATATGATCCGTGCAACCATGATGCAAAATCAATTAGTTCTTTCTCTGAAAATGCAACTTCTGAATCTAAAGGTTCATTCAATGTGAGCAAAGATGCAATTATGCAAATTCCTCCCCTGGTAGATGAATGTCAAATTTATTTGTATTCCCAAGAATGTCTCTCTCACTTGCAAATATCTTTGAACCAACCAAAAAATGTGCCCTTCAACTCCTGTGACTTCTAGCAAAAGAAAAACAATAAGCATGTAAAAACGAGGTCTATAAAATGGATAAGGTCTCAACTAGCAAGGACAAAAAAAATTCCTTTTCAAAGAATCATGTAGAAACGATAAAAAGCATGCTCTTTAAGAACTAATAAGGATACATGAATCACCTTCATGTTCAAATATACCATTCTTTAGGAGCTGCAGGGACTACTTAAAAAAACTTCAGTTATAAATAATTGACATGTTTGATAAGCAAAATAAAAGACAATACACCAACAAAGGATTTGAAAATATGTATATGGCGCTTTCCAGTAGCAAAAGTTAGTAACTATATAAAAAATGGTTCAAAATTTAATTACTTAATTGATACCTTGTTAGCAAGCTCCTTTGTCTGCATTCTAAAATCATCATCGCAATGCTCTATGTTATGTTGGAAAAGCAACTGAGATCTACCAACTTCAAAAAAAATGGGAATCAATTAAAATACCTAAATAAAATATAAAGGGGGTGAAGAATATCAAGAAAGACAGAACGACTAGGCACAAACCTTGATTTCTAAATCATTTTTTTCCATATATAATCATATAGCTTCGTAGTCAATAATCAATGAACTCATACCAGATATACCACAGTTGTGAAGAACAAAGATCAATATTTAAGCAATCAAAATCGTAAGTCAGACCTAAAAGTCCAGAAACTTGGAAACATAAGCCAGTAACCTAAAACTAATTCAATCGTAACTCCTTATCCAAAAAAGGCACATATATGAGTTCAACCAACTAGGAAAAGTTTTGAAAACTATATATTAAATTAAGAACAAGTAAATTACAGTGGCAAGACAAGCAAGCATAAAAAGCACCAACGTCACTTGGGGAATCAACCAAATAAGTCTTAGAATCCTATAAGTGTACACTTTTTGTGTTCTTAAAAACTCTAGTATTCTTTGAGGACTTTTCTCAAACACCACACTTGCATCCTATCAATATTGGGTTACTTTAGATTGTTTACACGCACATATGTAGAAGACATTAGATCATTTAGGTATATGTGCCACTGAGCAGATGAGTTTTTTATTTTGTAATTATATTTTGGGATTTTTGAGCACATCCAATTTCGAAATCGTTAAACAAGAGAAAACATCGATGCATAAAAGAACAAAGTTACGAACGAATACCATTACCTGGAAATCCAAATATGCGAGAGGGAGAGAGGGAAGGCATACGTCTGGAGGTTGTCGTAAACTGAATCGAGTGTATAGCGTCGAATACCTGCAAAAACAGATCAGGAACATCGATTAGAATAGGCAACAAAGCTTCGTTCTCATCGGTGCTGAGCCAGAAACCTAGGTTGAGATGCTTAGTAGCGATTAGCAACATAAGTTCATCCTCACTCGTTCAGCCTGAGATTGTTTCTCCTCTGCCCTCAATCTCACTCACGAGCTCAATTTCTCCAGCCAAATAGCTAGGGTTATGTTACTCCGAAATTCTAACACTCATCCGGAACTTTAATACGCTCAGTTGCTAAGTAGGGGTTTTAATTTTAGTTTTATCAGTACTCCGTGTATCTTTAGGCTTTAGCGTCGGCGGGATCAAACTAATAGTATTGGCATATCAAATCTTTTTTGCGTTAACTTGTGGACGGAAAAGACGTATTATTCGCGTCGACACAGGTTGACGCAAAAACTATAGACGCAAATGACACTTTTTGTTGTAGTGGACTTCAAACATGGCAGTATTTTCCAAACTTAGCAGTAATAACTAATTACTCCTATTTTCGGAATAAAAAATATGATAGTCCTATTTTGGAATTTTCAAACAATTTTAGTCCTATTTCAGGAACTTTCCCCTATTATGCCATTGGCGTAAAAATAATGATTCATGAATTACAATTAAGACATTTATTCTTTTAATTATATAATCTATAGCATATGGGAAATTCTAAATGTTTTACTAAACACAACCCACTAATTAAAATCAATTAATTAAATATAAATTAAATACCTATAATATCCCTAACGTCATTCCCAATCGCCCTCATTCCCCACAAACTTTTAATTGCTGCTGCTGATGGGTTTAACGTTTCATATTTACTCGAGCGCATGAGATATCAGATTATCACGCAGGTAGGGGTGGACTCGGGCCGGGTGGCCCGACCCGGAACCGGCCCGGCCCGCCACTGTTCCAGCCCAACCCGAGGTGGTTCCGGTCCGGGCTCGGGCCCCTCAAAACATGAACCGTCCCGGCCGGTCCGGGCCATTTTAATTTCTTTTTTGAATTTTTTTTTAAGTTTTTGGATTGGGCTAGGTATTTTGGGCCATTTGAGGTGGTTTGGGTGTGGGGGTTTGGGGGGGGGGTTGGGGGTTAATTAGGAAAAGGCAAAATTAAAAAAAAAACATATATATACCCGAGGCCCGGACCGGCCCGGACCCGGGGGTGACATGGGCTGGTTCTGGGCCCTCCAATCCAGGACCGGAGGCCCGTCGTGGGCCCGGCCCGAACCGAGTCCAAGCCTACACGCAGGTAGTACTGCAGATACTCAATCAGCCACCTGTGTTTTCAAGACTTTGAGTTTTTCTTCTTCGTTTTATTCAAATGAAAAGTCTTCAGATGGTTTGCAGTAACAAAAACTCTAAGTCTTAAGTACTCCGTACCTAAGTCACCTTATATTATCCCAACTAATTGCTTGGCAAAACAAGAAATAAGAAACAAGCAAAGAAATTCCACTTACACAAGTAGCTGATGTGGGTTTACATTGATTTTACTTCAATTTTTTTGGTTACCGACTAAAATACTACCATACCCACGGATTTCATGGCTCCAGTTCACCCTAATCTTTATTACGAGATCTACAATCAGACCGGGCCGGCCGATTCCCTGACAACCTCATCCTCCTAAACTTTTAGGATGTTACGTCTTTACCTGCCCAGAGCTGCATAGGAAATGAGCCTCACGGCAACAGACTCAAGTCGAGACAATAGGGATATAATCGATTAATCATATAATAGGTATTATATATATATATATATATATATATATATATATATATATATACTAGCGGCGTTCGCACTACGTGCGAATGGTGCCCAATGTGATTATTAAAAATGTATTACAAGTATTATTTAAACATCATGAATGCAAAAAGTATATGGAAACCGAGTTTAATACTACACTGGGAGACATTTTAGTGATAGTACTAATAAAAACCAAATGCATCAGTACTCGTTACTTTGAGCAACATTCTTTTTATGTTTATTTACAGTGTTATTTAATGTGCTAAAAATGGACCAATTCATTTTGTAAATTTAAATGCAATAAGTAAGAGTAAAATTTTGACAATACAGTATATGTAATTTAATAAGTATAGTTATAGAAGTTTTTAAAAGTACATAGTCTGAGTATCGTCATGCAAAAACAACCAGTTTGAATTTAGACACATGGACAAGCTGCAATTGTTGTTAAGTTATTTTATGAAAAGGGATATATTAATGAGATTACCATTAGCAATATACATTAGAATTGACTACTTCTTGTGTAAAAGATTTAAGAGAGAGTAAAAGAATTAAACTGCAGAATTTTTTAAAATAAGAAGTTTAATTTTGTTCATATACTTTCGTAATCTATCTCCTGAAATAGACACTACTTTGATGACTTATTTGCGAGCAATGTCCAACGTTAGGTCAGCTTCATATAGTTAAATTTGGCACTATCTTTTAAGATTATTTCTAATTTTGGAGGTAATATTATTGAAGTGGCCTGGTTAGAAAAGCACGTATTTTTATTTTATTTTAGTAGAACAACAATGTAATAATTGGTACGCCCTTTTTTTTGTAGAGGACACTTTGAAAATGCTTATTTCAAAATAGAAAATGCAATAGACAATCAGAAGTAATGTTTAGAAAATGGTACGGAGTATAAGCTTTAGACGTTGCCAACATGATTGTGTTGTGCACTTGATCCTTGTGATTAAGTTTATCTATGATTGTAACACAAGACAAAGTGAAATACACTTAATGGAAAATT